TAAATTTTACATAACGGTTGAGCACCATTACGATCATTATCTAATTAATTGAGTGTGCTACTTGAGAACACCCTAAAACAAGAAAGCGGCAGCACCGACCACCATAATAATTCCCAAACTCACTCCTCCAGAAATACGATTTCCACTGCTAGTCTTTGATGATGTAGTACCATTGGCACCCTCCACAGTGATCACACCCCACATTCCACTTTTACAGTGATTACCTACACCACAATAATACCAGATTTTTGCGTCTTGACCATCAATTATAAATGATTGTGTACCATTAGTTTTTGCCGCAGAAATAACTAAAATAAAATAAATGGAGTAAAATTAAGATTATGAAAATAAATAATAATAACAATAATAAAATATAAAGATGATAAATAAACAAATGATAATTACCAGCATTGCCACTTTTAAGGTCTGTAGCTTGTATACAGCTTCCAGCTGGGGCATCAGATCTGATGACAGAATGCATGGTAGTGCCATTTTGCCAAATGAATAAGAGCTATGATAAAAAAAAAAACGAAAGAGGTAATAAAACAGGTTAATATATTTCTATTTGACAAAAATTATTTTTCAAGGAAATATACAGTATATAGGTATGATATAAAAATTAATGAATAATAAATAATATTTACCGAGTCACCCATCTTTGCAGTCACATTTTGTGGGGTAAATGTTAGGCCACCTTGACCGACTTGAATATCGATAATATCAGCCGAAACGACAGTTAGAAAAACTAAGAATACAGCAAGAAGTGACAAATAGAATCGAGCCATTTTTTAATTGTGGTATTTATGTGTGGGTGTTTTTTATTTTGAAAAAATCGTAATTTGGGTCTAAACCAGTTTAGACTTATAAAGAGGAGGAGATTATTCGAGAAAAGAGTTTTATGTGAAGAAAAATTGAATGGAGTTTGAAGTGGGTTTTTATACAATTTTTTTTTACAATAATTGATAATTAATATTGTAAAATTGACAAAAATCGTCACCGGTTATTACTAAAAAAAGACAATTTCTAAAGAGAATATTAAATTGGCGTTTGCATAAAGTCTATGGTACAAAAAAGGATAAACAAATAATTTATTTAAAAGAACAAAATAACGATGATTGTTTAAAGGTATTATGGAAAGATACGACCAAATACGTACATACATACCAGATATGTACATACGTACGTACGTACGTACGTACATACGTAACAGTATCAGGTATGCATGTACAGTACCATGTTTTACATGAAGATGAGTTATTTAGGCGAGTCGAGGATTAAGGATTGCAAAAGGGGCGTGTACACTTGTACAGTACATACCTTACATTAGTTATTCATTAAATGATTGCTAACAAAAACTTCATAAGGGAAAGTAGGGCAAATAGTTTTCAGGTAATAAGGAGATAATTAAATTATACGGAGTATAAACAAATAAGGGAGAGTGTAAACTAGTAATCAATAAAAAGATTATAACCAATAATAATTGGAGTTTTTGATTATAATTGAAACATTTAACCTCCTTATTTATATGAACAAAGGAGGATCTTGCAGGTCGGTTTGAAGATTTTTTATGTCGAGTATGTACATACGTACGTTCGTACATGCGTATTGTACATAAATTTGTTAATGATAACTTCAACGTGTAAATTAACGTTAGCGATATTACCAAAACTATTTAATAAAGATCAATATAGAGATATGGATAACCAGAATTGTATAGTTGTGAATGGAAAATACCCGGTTTAAAAAAAAACCCCCATGCTAATCACTATAATCTCTAAAATCTCTAACCCTAATAATATATAATATATTGCCGGATTTACCTATGTAGAATAAATGGGTATTTGTTACTTGTATGCTAACATTATTTGCCCGAAACTGTGTCACATAATATCACCACCACATGGTTTTGGTCGACCCAAATAAAGTTTATGTAGTTTATGTTGTATTGTTGATAATTTCTAATAAAAGTTAAGATTTGAAACTAGGGGTAAAAAATTTCAAATCGCAATTAAAAACATTGGTGTAATTGGATAAAACTATAAATAATAAAAGTTAGAATCGATCGATAAATGATGATTGCGCTCTTTTTGCGCATTGTTGTACGTGATCGATAGACAAAATACCTTCGTTCAACTATTTTTTTTATTGTAAAATGATCATACGATTATCTATGAACTAGCTTTGTTCATTTTTTATTTTATTTTTTTTTAATTGTCAATGTTCAGTAATTGGTTATTTTTGTAGCTCTCTCGGGTCATAAATTATATCCCGTACCCTGTGATTAATAAATGATTAATTAATTAATAATGGACAGCATAATAATGCTAATTAATTAAGACTTTCGTTCAAGAAACATCTGACTACTTTATTTACGCATAAATGCCTTTTTACAAAGTAATTAATTATGAATAACGTTAGATGATTCGTACATTTAATAAAGAATATGAATGTTACTTTAAGAGTTGTTTATGCAATCTTATGCTTTAAAAAGTATGCTTTAAAAGTATTTTTATTTTAAAAGTATTTTTTTACAATATCAAATTACCAATTGTGTTTTGTTATGCAATATCAAACTATACTCAGAGCCAGTGGTCGTTAGAAGCAAAACTAGCTAGCAAAATTAGCTAGTAAATTTTGCAAATTTAGCAAAATAGCTTATTACAAAATTTATATTTGTCAATTATAAATTTTAATGTAGTCGTATGTTCTTCGATGAGTTCTTAATCTATCATCATTTACAACATGCATATAATTGCACGTTTATATAAATCAGTTTAAGAACAAAAGGAATAGTCGCATGCTTAGCAAATTTCGCATCTTAGCACAAACAATGTTGCTAGCTATTTTGCTAAAAAATAGCGCTATTTTAGATGCTACTAAAATCCACTGGCTCTGACTATACTTTGTTATATAATATCAAGATATGCTTTGTTATGCAATATCTGTTATGCTTTGTTATGCTTCGAAGGAAATGTTGACGTAATCTTAATGTTGTGTAAAAAAAAAAAATAAAGTTTCTAAAAAAACAACCAATCAAAAAATGTAAAACCGCAAAATGACATTATTTCGAGGTTCGGCCGAATTAAGCTTAATTTAGGCCGAAATTTGTAATTTCACTCCTCTGCGCGTTAATTCGGTAAATTTATTATTAGCTTCTGAATATCTTTGTTCTTGTTAACTATTTTAGAAAAAAAAGAAAGAAAAAAAAAGAAAACGAGGTATAAAAAAATATATATATAATCTTATATAATATTTTAACAAAGTTTTTTATTGACCATTTTAAATTTTAGTACGTAACACATATTCTAGCTACTTTGGTTGAGAAGAGCTGTAATAATAGATTATATATTAGATAATATCTTAGATTATATCTATTACAATCAAAATCATTCAAGTTATTAATAAAAATTTAGGAATTTTTTCTGGCTTTACGTATGATAAAAAATTTGTACATAATGCATTAGTAGTGATTAGAGATACCGAGAAAACCATGTGATGCTAAATAGTCCCAAGGAAATAACTAGCGCTGGTAATTTTTTTAAGTCACATGCAAGAAGTATAGATTTAGCATCACATGGTTTTCTCGGCATCTCTAGTAGTGATAAAACTTACCTTTATAATCTTGAAATTATTTTACGTATTAAAATATAAATATAAATTTTGTTAATGCAAATTTTTTTTAATACGTACGTATTACGTATTCAACAATTTTTTATTATCAGTTATTATTTTAAATTTTTAAATTAGATTAAGAATCTCAGAAGTTACCGTAAATAAAAGAAATATTGCACGTTTGCAGAAAACAAGTACGTACTGCCAATTTATTACTAATTAAAGACCATATTAGCTAAATTTTTTCCAAGTTTTTCGGAATTATGATTAGAAACTCTTACAACCCAACTATATACGTATATAAATATAAACATAAATAGAAATCTCACAAAACTTTATGTTCGAAACAGTTTTGAATATAAAGAAATTCATGTACGTACGTACGTACGTAAACATTAGCAATTGTAACACTTTGTAAACTTGATTTCTGAAACTGATTACGTATACTGATATTACTTTATAAGGTTTTGATATACCGTATATAGCTTTTGATTATCTACAAAATCAACAAACATCAGGATTACGAAAAACGTGGTTTCGATTTTAATCTTGGCATCCAAAAAAGTGTCCATTTCTTCTTTTCTTGTCCTTTTACATAACGTTGTCAAGATCAGTTATGCATTTTGTTTGATTAACAATTAAAGGTTATTTGTTATTTAACTATTGAAAAATGTGTATCTTTCGACATCCGTTTTTGTATCGAGAGTGCTTGCTTGGTATTATGTTAAGTTCTATTTTAGTTAAGCTTCTTGAGTTATTTTCTAACAGTTCTCAAGCATACCCGATAATTGTAGTCGCATATCTTTCATATCTTTAGGCGTAGGCTTTATTAAAAAAAGAATTTTCTTTAGGCGTAGGCTTTATTAAAAAAAGAATTTTGATTAAATCTGTTTCACCAACCAACTTATGTTAGATGCATTATTGTTGTAGTGCAACAAAATTTTAAATTTGTAAAAAAGCAACTTTATTTTTTTTTTCATGTCCTGAAATAAGAAATTAAAGATATATACTTTTAGTATTATGTAATTGGTATGTAATTGTCAAATTCGAATATTCTATTGAGTTTCAACACAATACGAAGCGTTTTTTCTTTTCGAAACGTTTTTTTTCTTTTTTTATTACCAATTTTGATTTATTTACCTTTTCGGCTGTTAAAAGTTTACAAAACTTTAGTTACTTTAGTTTAATATTGTTTAACGAAAATATTTCTTAGGGTATGTATGTAGGCGGGACTTGTGACACAACACATCCTAAATAATACATGAATTTCGGTGTCCGAAATGCCCGTCGGCCGTTATGTTTATGTCCGGAGGTTACACGAATCTTCACGTCAGCACGTCAAATATTGTTCAAACGACGTACTATCGCTATACGTACGCATGTACGTACGTATGTTCGTATATTCGTTTGTTAAACTTGGAACAATAAATCGATCTTAATCATAACAATATTTTATATCTAAAGCTATTTTTGCTATTTTTTAATCAAAGATATAATTAAATAATTATTTGCTACAATTATAACTACAATAATAGCATATATTGTAGTTATTATTTGTAGATTTCTTAACAGTTAGCATAAATCTATCAAACAATAAAAATTTTAGTTTGGTTTAAATTAAAACGCATCAACTGTATGTTATCATATTAAAGTTAAAAGGTCAGATATTTTAAGGTTAGATAGAGTTTAGAATGTAATAGAACATTTATTTAATTAATCAATTTTTTTTTAAGATTATATTCACATGGACATACTGTATAAAACATCATAGTTCTGAATTTAAACCATTATTTTGTATGTGTACATTAATTTTGAATATATTTCATTGTTTTAATCGTACAAGATCACTTTATTAAATATTTTGATCATTTGTAAAAACTGTTGAAACTTAATTTTCAAGCTTTGAAATAAATAAAATCAAGCTATGCTTTCAAAATTAAATTCAATTATAATATAAAAAACTTATTTATTATTATTATTATTATGATTATTATTATTATTTATATTCGTTTGTACAGTACATTTTTGTACATTTCTTTGCATCATTTACACTCTGACAGTATTATTAAAAAATTTAAAGTTATTTCCTTTGCAATTTAAAATATACAAAGTCCAAAAAAAGAAAATCTACAACTCATAAAAATTGTTTTTTTTCGTAATTTACACATCCGTATAAATGTATTGACAATGTATTGACGATCTTTACATATTATACATACTTTACATACTTTATAGACATAAAACTTATCTAAATTTTATATGGTTAAGACCATACTTACTCGTAAATTTTTAATTAATCTTGTAATTTGCACTATAACATAAAAGTGAAATTTTAATATCACACAAATTATTTGATACGATGCTACAAAAAGATAGAACTCATAAAAATTTTATTATACATCCTGCACATTTTTGTCGATGATGGTTCTTTACTGCAGTTTTTTGTTTCAGAGTTAAGAACATGTGTACTCATACTAAAACTTATATATTTGATTTTAAAACGTTCAATGTTTCCTAGCTTCTTAGTTTCTTGACGAGTACTCTCTAAAGTAATAAAAGTTCTCAAAAGTAATGCTACGTCATTAAAAACAATTCCCGTAGAAAAAAAAAAAAAGTATTATGTTAATACGCAGTCAAAGGATCTATACTATATTAATACAATCCCTCCGTCAGTCAATCGGTTGACAATCCATTTTTAGTTCGTTTCAAATATTGCATATTATTTTACTTGTATTAGTTGATCTTCATAAAATTTAAGGGTTTAAAACTTTTTGGTATAACAAATTAAGCGTCACAAAATTGCTGTACAGTACATAAATTGAGGCTAGATTACCTAGATTACTTATTTGCTATTTACGAAGATCATAATAATACAGAGAAAATAATGGAACTATATATGCGTAAGTAAGTATTCTTAAATATGTTTCTGATTTTAAAACAGAGCCGATTAACCATAATAAGAAATATACAAATGTAAACCGATTCGATATATTTTACTTTATATTACTTTTATATTATATTACTTTATTATTAAAATCAATAGTTAAAACTTATTTAATAATCAATCGAGGATTATATCTGAAATTTAATATAAATAGATGTCCCAATTTCTTTTATGTCGACCAACAAAAAATTCAAATAATTAAAAAAATAAAAATCCTGTTCACCCAACTTTTACGGACAGGTATATAAAATAAAAAAAAAAACAAATAATTTTCTTTCAAGAATCATCCTTTTACCTCTATATACATATACATTTTTCTTTTTTTTAAAAAAAAAACACAAACAAAAAAAAAAATGGCAAAATCAAATCTCATGCTTTTAGTTTTGTTAGTATCAACCTTTGCTTCTGTTATTTATGCCGCGGATCATCAAATAATGGTTGGTGGGTCTGGACTTACGTTTACCCCACAAAATACAACTGCAGCCCCTGGTGATACCGTAAGTAATTTGATAGTTTCTTCATAAAACGAGTAAGTTATATATATTTAGCTAAATATTTTTCTAACTTCAACAAAAATTATAGATCACATTTATGTGGGCGGGTACTACGCCGCACAGTGTTATTCAATCAGACGCACCAGCTGGTAACTGCAACAAATCCGCAACTTTAGCTCGTAAATATCATTATCATTTTTATCACAATCGATTTTTATTTTTTTTTTTGCTTTCATCAATATAAACTTCTTTTCACTAATTTAATCAACTATTTATTTAATAATTAGCTTACTATCCCGTAAACAGTGTAGCTGGTTTCAATGTAACATACACCGTCAATGCTACTCCACCAGTAATCTGGTACTTCTGTGGCGTACCTGGTCACTGCCAAGGTGGTATGTGGGGTACCATAAAACTTGCTACTGCTACTAATGGTACCGCTGGATCCCCAACCGGAGGAGCTACTCCCGCTTCCTCGGGTAGTCCAACTGGTGGTGACACTGGTAAAGGTGGTAAAGGTGGTAACGGTGGTAACGCATCACCTTCTGGTACTACTGGTACTGAGGCATCTGGCACAGCAAAACCTGCTTCAAGTGCTAGCAAAGGAGAAATTAGTGGTGCTTTAATTATCGGTTCTGGACTTTTAATGTATATTGCAGGCCATCTTTTGTAATAAATTTTCTCTCTCTTGTAACAATGAGTTAGATTTCTTTTTTTTTATTTTGTTACATAGAACAATTTTTTTTTTTTATTTTAAGAAAAAAAATTTTTTTTAAATTCAATTATTACAATTAATAATCATAGGGTGTTTTAGGATCTAATTCTGCATAATTATTTGTTTTTTTTTTTTTATATAAAAATTTAAAAAAAAAAATAAAATACAAAAATCATATACTGGTTATATGTAAATTTTAATAATAACAATACGTAATATTTATGAAACTTGAAATATGATCAATATAATTTAATAGTTTAAATTACAAATATCTCGTAACAAATTTTTTTTTACCTTCAAGACAGCGTAATAAATAATCAATTTTTTCAATCTATCCAATTAATAGTAGAGTTATGTAAAAAAAAAAAAAATTAAAGTACAATATACGTAATCTACTCTTATTATAACATGCTGTAGTATTATATAATAAAAAATCTTTAAATTGTTCTAGAGAATTACAAATATTTTTAACAATCATTTAGTTATTAATCTATTTTTCGTTTAAATTTAATTATTAATTAAAATAAATTTTACAAGCAGATCGCATATATAGGTGTAGAGATGGAGCCATTTTATCTGTACGAACGGATAATCCGAATTTTACTAATTATGTGGGTTATCCATTGTGCGATTCGTGATCATGTTTTCAAGTCTTGGCTAACTGAACTTTAAATTATTGAGTTGCATCATAACACAGAGATAAATAAAATTCGTGATCAAAAATTTGTATGATAAGTAGTACTACGTATTAATTTTTAATTTTTAATTATTCGGTTTATCCGGAAAACTCTTATGATTATGAAAAAAATATTTCTTCTTTTCCCTACGAATCATGTTAGAGTTAGAATTTTCGTGTTTAACATGTGATTGTCGGAGTGTCCAACTGATCTACTAGCGTAACGTCAGATAAACTAAATCTTTTTCCTTTTCTTATGATAATTTTTTTTGTTGAGAAGCGTTAGAATAAGATATTATTAGACTTAGAATGTTCAGTTTAGTGAACATCTCCAGCTACCCAACATGTATTTTTATCGTAAACTAATTTGATTACATTGCCGTTGTTAATTATCATAATTATTCACGTTACCCTTCGTGTCATTGTCTGCACTAACGTTTTCTTTGCTTACTACCAGAGCTAATTTGGCCCCATAGTCCCAACTCGATACTTAATAGTATAGCATTAGTCAATAAGATTAATTTTTGTTTATGATTATAAAGTAAGCTTTCGAAAAAATTCTATCACATACGTTACAGAGACTGTTAAAAATTTAGAACCAAATCAATCCAAAATTTCCCAAATTTCTTAAGCCTGACTAAAACTTTTTTATTAATGGTAACCAAATTTGCAAAATTTTTTCTTTAATTAATTTTTTGCGAATATTGGTTAGAATTTTGATTATAAAAAATATTCTAGTGGATAGAGTCCAATAAAAAAACTTTTCAACTTGAAATATAATGACAATACATATGTAGTATTAATGTAATTATATGTATACATACTGTATTTATTAATACGAGTTAAACAGTTTTCGGTATATTGTTGATGTTGAACCGGCAGTTTTTGCGGCGCTAAAACCACCATCACGGGACCAAAAGCGTGATTAGGACCCGACTCAAGGCACTTCTCGGAATCAGCAATAAATCAGGAGAAACGCGCTTCCCGGCAAAGCCCCTAAATAGACTAAGCCTCAGGAGCGTAAAAGGAGTAAGATAAAATCAACAAAGTATCAGAAAGATGCTGTGATGGCATCTATGATACAATTGGCGCTCAGAAGGTCCCGGGACCATGGATTAGTGAATTCCCGGATGAGGCATAGGGAGAAAACCATGGGATGGCCACCTGGTTTAAAATGCTAACCAAGCATCTCCCAAAAAGGCTAAATGAGGCGGTGATACTGATGGGTAAAGCAAGCCAAATGAAACCAAATTGGGAAATCGTGTGGCCGTGTGGGATGTATGTTTATAGTCGTGTAAGTGAAGGCCTACTCATCCAAAGATCGTCTGAAAAGTAGACGAATACGATAAGATAAGGAGTTGTAGTTTTATTTTTCTTTTTTTTCTTTCAATATGTATCAATTTTTGTATAAATGGACTTGTAATCTGCTCTGGTGAAAGAGCAGTTCAGTTCCAAAGAACTACAATAAAAATTCGATCTTGAATAAATAAAAACTTTGACATTTTTTGGTTTTTTTTTTAATTTGGCAATCCTGCCTTTATTGTATTAGGAGTGTGTAATCAAAATACATAGTTTTTGAACAAAAAGCCTGCAATAAACTCAATGTCTTCCACCCTCTTACTCTTCAATAAAGACTCACTTGGCTGCTTGTAATGGTGCCCAAGTATGATCTGCTGCAGCAATAATTCTCTCCTCTCTGGCATCTAACTTACTAGATGACTTCCCAAAAAAATCACAGAAAGCTTATTGCTAGCTTTGTCAAGATTGCC